AAAATCTTTGATGTGTCCTTCGATGACATATTTAGACCAACAATTTCCTAAAGTAGAATGAAAATCGGGAATTTACACTTGGCGGGGTTCCCTTGCCAGGATGAGTCAACCTACTGGGAATGACAGTCTTCTAGATTCAATGCTCATTTTTCTGTTAGTTTTGCACAATTTCTTTCCTTTTGTAAAAGTAAACCTGTTACTGCCTAAGTGTGTGTCAGTCACACGTCTGTGGATGTAGAGATGTGCGAACATGTTCGGATCCGAACTCGAACGAACCGAACACAAAATTTGTTCGTTCGAGACCGATCATCAAGTGTTCGAGCACGAACTGTTCGAAAAATAACGTCTGAGATCGTTCGTGGTCGAACAATACCCCCCTAACTCCTCATCAGTAATCGGAAGCTTTAAAGCATCAACTTCTAGGCGGGAAACGGGAAACGGGGAAAGGGGAACGCCTGACGGGTAGGCCACCCGCACCAACTCTCGCGCCTGGAGGTAGGCAGCCTCTCCTGCACGAGTAGCTGTCTGCCGCGGGGGACGAGAGATGGCACTGCCGTCAGCCTACGTCATTTTCTCGTCCCTGCCTCGCACCCTCCCCTTTCCTTTCCGTGCGTCTCGCGTCCCGTTCTCCCTCCCTCTCGTGAAGAGCAAGCCACCGTAGCCGATCTTTCTTATTCGAAAAGGTAATTGAAATACTGACCGTCAAGGGTTGATTTACTTGTTTTAAGAGTACTAGTACAGTCTTGTATTGAGGACACTCGTGCAAATGAACCGCCCTTCTTCAGACTTAAAATTGAAGCTGAATGAATGTGCTGCCACAGAGATAGGTTAGGAACATTTTTATTGTTTACTTATAGTCACATTGATTCAACAGCTTTTCCTCTCACTCGTGATGGCAGCGGAACACGATGAGGATGACGATAATTTCTGGGATCGTGAACTAAGCCGTGGTGGCAATGGCAATGGCTCCCCGAGTGAGAGTGAGGCGACGACAACGGGCCCCACCACGACCACGACTGAGCTCGGTGCTGCGCCTGGAGCCGCGCCTGCGACCCAGCCCTAGGGTGATTTTTTTTTCCGCAAGCATGAGTTGGAGTGTCAGAGTGTCATCTTGTTCGAATGTGCGAAGAAAAAAATATATCCAAAGATGAACAAAATCGGATAATATTTAGTGGTGGCGCAACGAGCTTAAAGTTTAACCCATAA